CCATGATAACTGCAGAGATCTCTGCCTGCTGAGCAGAAAAACTTTCACACCTCTTTATTAAAGGTGGTCTATCTGGTGAATAAACCACAGATGTTCCATTTGAGGAGCCATCTGTGAAAATTAATATAGCATCTTCTATAGGCATTTCTTTAACCTTTGAGGGAAATATTATGTCTGTTTCCTGTACAAATCTCAATATAGGATGTTGGGGAAGATGATATTTTATTTGTCCTGTATAATTTATTAATGCCAACCCCCAGTCATCATTATTTTGTAATAAATACTCTAATTGCTGTCTCTTATAAGGGATAATTATATTATGCACATCTCTACCAAATAATTCTTTTGATCTAATTCTCCCCTTAATTATTAATTGGCTACATAAATAAATATAAGAAGATACCATTTTAACTTGTGTATGGGGTAAATGCATCCATTCCAAGATGCCTTCTTACCATAATATATATATATATACCATTTTAACTTGTGTATGGGGTAAAGGCATCCATTCAAAGATTCCTTCTTGCCATAAACATGCAGTTGGGGGTATATGATGTTTTTATTATTATTAAATCCCATGGTGCTTTATAATCAACTTGTTTTACCTTAGCTGTCTGTAGTTTTTTTTTTTTTTACCAATATTATTTTATCCAAAGCTTCTGGTGTTAACTGTCGTTGTGATTTTGGATTAGCATCTTCTTTTAACAATTCAAATAGGGGGTGTAATTCTCCTGTAGTTATTTTTAAATAAGATCTTACCCAGTTTATATTCCCTAATAGTTTTTGAAAATCATTTAAAGTTTTCAATTTATCTATTCTAATACTCATTTTTTGTGAGCTGATTCCTTGCTCACCAATGAACTTTCCTGAATAGTGTAAAGGCCTATTATATTGTATTTTATTTGGAGCTAATTATAAGACCACATTTAGTTAATGATTGAATCATGTCTTTCAATATTGATTCTGCAGAATCTTTAGTTTTATGAGCCAATAGAATATCATCCATATAATGTATTATATAAGCATCCTCGTATTTGATCCTGATATCTCTCAATGCTTTATCCACAAATTTTTGACATAAAGTTGGACTATTTTTCATCC